TAGCCTCTCTCTCTCTCTCTCTCTCTCTCTCTTCTTAGCCATCGCGATCTTGAGAGTTGATATGTCGATTTCTTCACTCTTGGAGACCACCTTTTCCTCTCCTTTTTGTGAAGATAGTTTTGGGATAAGGTCATAAACTCTCTTGTCCGTAAAATCAAGTTTCACTTGCTGGTGATTGTACACTTAAAAGTTCAAAAAGAAAAAAAAAATCTTGAATTTAATGACGCAGCTCAGACCATCTAATTTAGTTAATGAGTAATTTTTACCTCCTTATAAATGGTCTCATAATATACAATATCATAAATTAAAGGTTACTATTCTATTTCCACACACCCTTTTGCACTAAGGTTAAGATTCTCTCTTTTGGAGGTTTCTCACTGTAAGTTAAGATTCTACTGTAGCTGCTTGCAATCTCCTGTGTGTGTGTGTGAGAGAGAGGAGTTTATGTATTTTATTGATTCTGTTTGGGTTTAAAACATTTTCAAAGCAATGCAAATAAAGTGAGGCCAAAATCCTTTCCCGCTAAATTTGGTGGGGTGGGGTAGCTGTTAGCACTAAAGCCCCCTCTCTTCCCTCCACCACCAATTTTGGTACAATCCCTGATTTCCTTGTTTTCTCACCACCATACCAGTAAAGAGAATTTCACAGAGACCAGGAAAAGATGGGGAAGGTGGTAAATAAGGACATAACCAAGAGAGAGAGACTTCGCTCTGACACTATAGATAGAGAGAGAGACCTCGATCTGACACTCGTCAGAAGCCAAATTCACAGGAGTAGAAAAGCATCTTCGCAGAACCAGCTGGAATCCATATATTATTTAATTACAAAAATAAAACAAAATCACTAGAAATAATTTAATTTCGGATATTCCTAAAGAGATGGGCCTTGTCCCCATAGAACTGGACTGTCATCTTCAACCCACACCAAAGACATGAGAGAGAGAGAACCCCAAAGGTAGAGGTCAATGAGTTGTTATAGTAACGCAGGACAAAAATGAGTTAGCTAACAATGGCAGTTTTAGATATTTCCTTGCCGAGATAAAAAGATAAAAATGAGTTAGCAATAGTGAAAGCCCAAATATGCTAGAGCGGCCAAAGGGGCCTAGGCTTAAGCTATAAGTATGAACCTTTCTCAGCTGTTCTTTGAAGGCTATTCCTAAACTGAAATAACAAGCTCAATCCAGTGAATTCAACTCCACATAGACTCATTGCTGCTCAAAAAAGTTCATATTCACAACGGAATATGGGAAACACAACAAACAACATGATCCAAGATCGGATGTACAAAGGATCTAACATTGACCCCATAAAAAGACATCGCTTTTTTATATTCTTTTTATGAACAAATTGACAAGTAACTTTCTTGTGTCTTTCAGCATTGAGCTATATTTGTCTCAATCCGCAAATCAAAATTTTGGTTTCTAAAGAGCAACACAAAGAAACATTGAAATAGTTGGATGTACAGCTCTTATCTTGCCGTCAAAGAATTAACCATACTTTACATAGCCTCCTAGTAACAATTTTGAATCTTGGCTGCGTATCGAAAGCATAAAGCTGCAACAATCATTAAATAGCATCAACACTACTACTCGAAACAGCTGTATTCTATGAAAGTATGACTAGTTGCAATCTATGATAAACAATGACAACATATCTTCAAAGAGTTATGAAACAATGTTATTCAGGAACTATGATAAAATATTGCCTTGGAACTTATACGGCCCTATGGCTTATAGGGCCGTAGAAGTTCGCTTTTCATAACCATGATATGATCCCAGCAATCAACTAGCAAAGTACGACTAAGATGAGGCTATAAATTACCTAATAATCCAAGAAAATTATGTCAATTTGGATCAAATCAGAATGCCCTCTAATGCAAGGAAAAACAAATTTGTCCCATACAGATCAATGCATTTATGGCACGATGTATAATAAAAACATACACATATCATTCAACAAATATGTACTTCAATACCCACCTCAAACTAGTGGTTGGGCTCTTGTCAAATGAGCTGGTAAACAAAATACACAATACGCTTAGAAGATGCAATATAAGACTCTCTTGCAAAAACATAAAAACACATAACAGACAATTGCAGCATGTTGCCTTTTCGTGAAAATTTAGATCAGAAGCACGAATTACAACAGGAATGGAATTAATTACTAAAGCTGATTATATCAAAGGTGTTCCAATAACACAGTCCATAGGTTTACAGGTGAACAAAAAAGTAAATACAGATGTTACTATCTAAGACACAAGCATGCTAAGCAAGTACCCTCTGCACTGAAAGCCCAAAGTGCACCATTGGTATCATGAGAGTACAAGCCAATGTGCACTTTCTTAAGGGGAAAAAAAATCCCAAAGTGCATCATTGGTAAACATGGAAGAGTACAAGCTGAAAGAATAGATATGTAGATACTAGATATTGCTTTACTCAGGTTGGAATCCCTTAACATGGGTTGAGTTCCTAGAAAATCCTTGTTTCAAATGCAAAGGGAGGATCCTCAAAGGCTTGCTTATAGAAAATCTAATGATACACCCAATCTTTGCAAATGGCCCTAAATCGCCTTTGCCACAGTGAACCTAATTGGCTATAGACTGACGCAGAAAGTTAACAGTTTGTGTTAGGTGCCTTTTGATTTCAAATTTAGTCAAATGGTGTTTCCTTTTCATTCCAATTTTGTAATGACTAAATGACAATTTGATCAGTATCATTTGCCATCTAGGGGTGTTTGTTTGTTTTAATTTGAATTGCAACTTGGAGGTATTGCGATTATGGTGGGGGTGGTGACAATGACGGTGTGAATGATGGTGGTAGTAGTGGCGGTGGGTGTCATGTGGTGGTGGTGGAGTAGGTGGGGTAGTACTGTTGGTGGTGATATGGTGGCAGAAGTGATCGCAATGCTGGTGGTCGAGGCGGTGATGGGGTGGTGGTTGTGGGGGGAAGAGAGAGAGAGTATTCTGCCTCCATATCAACACAACAATCAGGGGGAAGAGAGAGAGAGAGTATTCCGCCTCCATATCAACACAACAATCAATCACTTTACAAACCAGGCTATGTAACTTCCAAGGGTATTCTGCCTCTTCCTTTATCCAATTAATAATATTCAAGGAATCCCCTTCCACCATAACAGGCGTATTGAATCTTTTGACTAGTTTTATACCTTGAAGTACCGCGCTCAACTCTGCTTCATTATCAGTCACTGCACCTATTGGACCATAATATTTCGTCACCACATTACCTCAACAATCACTGATAATGCCTCCTATACCCGCTGGGACTGGGTTCCCCATAGAGCTACCATCAAAATTTAACTTGACACATCTTTCTGCAGGACATTTCCAAATCCCCACCCTTGTTTCCTTCACTGTACTCTCTCTAATTAATATGCAAATTGTACATTAAGTCCATTCTCGACACGCCCCACCACTCATTAACTGCAAACCACTCAGCCACTACTAGAATTCTTTCAAACAGTTCAATAGCTGATTTTGCCTTGCTTTCAAAACATCTTTTGTTTTGTTCCTTCCATAATTGCCATAACACAGTAGCTTTTACAGTTTTCCATATCTTTCTTCCCTTCTTACCAAGCCCTGCTACCAACCAATCCCTAAAAAAACAGTCGACCCGCAGAGGAGTGCCATTATGAAGGCCAAGCTCGCTAGAGCCGACAACCACACTGATTTTGTATAGCAGCGATTACGGAAAAGGTGATCAACAGATTCCTCATCCATTTTACACATAATACAAACATTAACTATAATTTTTCCGTGTTTTCTCAACATATCAACAGTAAACAATTTTCTCAATTTCATTAACCACAGATACGCTCTAACTTTCAAAGGTATTGGCCACTTCCAAATTTTACTTGCATCTAAATCAGTCCATCTGTTGCGATCATAAAACGACAATTTGTATGCTGAACTCACAGAATAGTTGTCATTTCTACTTGGTTCCCATACAAATATGTCTTCCAAATCTGGGCAATAGTAATACTGTTGTTACAACAACAAACATTGAACATATTCGTCAATTACCTCATTGTTAACCCTCCTATAGGAAGTCCTGATTTGACTTAAAACCTCTGCCTTCAACCATCTCCCACACAGTCTTACTTCTAGAATTGAATTTAGCAAATAAATGGGGGAACTGATTTTTTAAAAGCCTGTCTCCAATTCATTTTTGCTGTCAGAATCTAACACTATCTCCTTTACCCACCACCATCCGCATGTATCTTAAGAAGAAATCTCTATAGGCAACAATCCCCTTCCACATAACTGAAATGCCTTTCTTATTAGTTCCCTTAGCCAGGATACTATGCTCCAAATCTTCCCCATATTTTTCTTTGAGAATACATCTCCCTAACTGATCCTTCTCCTTAGCACTTCTCCACCACCATTTTGTTAATAAAGCACTATTCATAATTTTCAGCCTTTTGATCCCCATGCCTCCATCACGAATAGGAGAAAGCACCTGCTCCCATTTTACAAGATTATATTTCTTCTTATCATCACTTTCACCCCATAGAAACCTTTTCATTAGACTCTCAAGTTTGCTAATAACATCACTACGCTTAAAAAGAGACATGCAGTAAATTGGTAAATGTGCCGAGGCTGCTTTTATCAAGGTCACGTGGGCCCCCCAAGGACAACAATTCAAATTGCCAAGAATCAAGTGCATATTGCATTCTTTAAATCAAAGGATCCCAAAGAGCCGAGGTTCTATTATTATCTGATAAAGGTAGCCTTAGATATTTTATTGGAAATCGCCCTATCCCACAATTAACCATATCTGCAAACTCTTTAACTTTACTCACAAGCCCCCTATCATATGCGTCTTTTGCAGGTTTACCTTCTGCCACGTCACCACTTCAGAAAATCTAAGAAACCTCTAGAAAGTTTGGATTTTCAGGTCACTTGCCCCACATAAAATCAGTGTATCATCTGTATATTGCAGATGAAACACTATCGTCCCATTGTTTTTAACTTGGAAGCCACTTAGCACATCCATTTCAACTACAGAAGTCAGCATTACACTAAAAATTTCTCCCATTATCGTGAATAAGAAAGGGGACAAAGAAACCCCTTGTCTAATCCTACGGATGCTTTAAAGAACCATTTTGGCTTTACCTTTAATAAGAATAGAGAAATGTGTTGACTCCAAGCAATCTTTCATCCACATTAACCACCTATCACTAAAACTCATAGCCTTCATAGTTTGCAGCAAAACCCTCCACTCAACCTTGTCATAGGCTTTCTCAAGATCAATCTTACATATAATATCTGGTTTCTTTTTAGCAATCCAAGAACAAATTACTTCTTGAGCACATAGAATACTATCTGTGATTTGAATGTTTTGGATAAACGCAGATTGAAGACCTTTAATTATCTAAGGAAGCATAGTGTTTAATCTTCTCGCCAAACAATTAGCAAGAATTTTGTAAAGGATGGACAACAGGCTGATGAGTCTAATATCACTTAAACTTTCAATCATTCCCTTTTTGGTAATAGGGACAATGAAAGTAGAGTTAAGGCTAACATTAACAATACCCCTATTATAGAATTCATGCATCATATTTACAACTTCATTCTTAGCTGAATCCTAGTATTGCTGAGAAACACCAATGGAAACCCATTAGGTCCATGGGTATGATCCCCTGCCAGACTAAATGCGGCTTCTTTGATTTCCATTTCAGTAAAAGATCTCTCAATCCATGTTCTCCATTCTGAAGGAAACCTATGAAAGGGTACTTGACTAAAATCAATGTTAGGGACAAAATCAGATGAGAAACCCCCCTGGAAATGCTTAACAATTGCATTTTTCAAGCCTACCTCATCCCCTTCCACAAACCCATCTATTTTTAGTCCTTGAATATTGTGTATGCGTTTTCTAACATTTGCAGTTGCATGGAAGAAACAGGTATTAAATCCCCTTGTTTTAACCATCAAATTCGAGATCTTTGTCTCCAATAAATCTCATCAGCCTTAAGCCATTCATGTTATTCCTTATTTATATTATTACGGCAAGCCACATTTTTCATCTCAATTACTCCAAAATCCCATTCCTTCATATCTAATTCAGGTATCTTTGACACAATCTCCTCCACCTTCAACTTATAATTAACAACATTCCTTTTTCTCCATTCAATCAACTCTCTTTTCACAACTTGCACTTTTTTGGACGCCACATGATCAGACCAACCTTGCACATCATTTCTATTCCAAGCATTTATAAACAGATTAGTCATAGATTTTTCCTTTGTCCACGCCATCTCAAACTTAAAGTAACCTCCACCTATTATCAGATATTCACTTTCCCATATCTGAGGGATATGGTCAAAAGAAGCTTCGGAAAGGCACGAGCTGATCCCAAAGGAAAAAGCTCAGCCCAACCAGGATTGACTAGAAAGTGATTCAATCGGATCATAATAGGATTAGCAGAGCAATTGTTTGACTAGGTAAACCTGGCTCCTGCAGCTGGTATGTCCAAAAGCTCAAAGCTTGAAATGAAATTAGAAAACAATTTCATACAGCCCTGACATCAAACCAATTAGGACTAAAAGTCTTTGCTCGTGCAACAAAACTAAATCAGGGCCATTTTTCTTAACCACAAAAGAAGCTCTGATTTGTGTTTAAAACTGCAAAGACCCCTAGTATTCCAAGAAAGAAACAGTATCATTGAGACAACGAAGAAGAGCCATGTCTGGTAGCATTCCTACTGACAGACATGGTTTGAGCACTTGGGTCATCCGGCTTCTAGCTACGTCTTTTCACCACGCTCTTCTTAGTCCACAATCTTTCCTTTGTCAACAACTTTCACCTTCCTGCGACTAGCTTGCTCCTTCTTCGATTGCTTATTCTATGGCCTTTGCATTGCTTCTATTGCTTCCACAATCACATCCATTGAGTCATTTACCTAAATATGTCATAGCCTCTAAGATCTTGTGAACTTGGATACGCGGTCCATGATTCACATCTTCTACTGCTGGAACCATGCGTAAGGGTAACACATCTACAACAATCTCCTCATTTGTCCATTGCTGAGAATTGAAGATTCATCAGTCTCAAACACAACAATTGGGTATTCCTTTCCAAATTCTAAACCATTTCCCCCATATTCCTACAATCTTCTTCTACATCTATCTTGATTATCTAATCTTGAGGCCAATCGTTGCAATCAAAATTCTTTGGGGGCCATGGTCTAGAAGTTACTGCGGATTTCCTATATGGAAGAAATCTCTTCATGTCTCCAATATCTCCTTCAAATCTCAATCTTACAAGCTTCTGAATAGGTTTGCGTTCTTTATTTTTCCATAAAAGCCATCCTTACACTATCCCCATCTTTTCCTCTTGCACCTTTACATAACTCCCTGTCTTCTCAACTGTCGCCATTTCCTTACCCCGTACAATTTCCCACGTCCCTCACAGCCCCCACCTGTCCCTGATTCCACTTCCCAAGGGATTTCGAAATCCCGTTCAGCGTATCTTATACATCCATGTTATTCAATTGACCTTCCTGGCATCAAAGGTTGTATGCCTTATCACCATTCATCTCAATGTTACCACAACACTCAACCATCCGATCATGCCTAGCTGTTATTTCCTCATACTGCCCATTAACACGCCAACTCACATCCATCATAGTATTATTACCATCCTACCCTAGACATTCATGAATCATGACTCTTTGAATTCTCCTTGACCAATTTATCCTTCTGACCGTCGTTAGTAATTATCATGCCCCAGAATTCATGACTCCTTGAATTCTCCTTGACCAAATTACCCTTCTGACCGTTGTTAGTACTTATCATGCCACCTTTATCACCGTCTATCCCTCCATTCCTTTCAATCCTTAACAACAAATCTTGCTTGACATGACTAACTTTTTTCTCCCCATTTTGCCCCTTCATACCATTTTGCTTGACATGCCATAACATTTTACTGCCCATTTCACTTTTTTGAAAACCATCTCAAGAATTCCAAACCTTCATATACCACGTGATATTACCCTGATTGAAACACATATCCCCCCATTTACCCCTACCCAGAACCTTCAACTACATCTCCAATGGCTTTCTCAATAGTTGATTTTTCCCATTTTGGCCATGAGTATCAAGATGAGCATACATATTCTTGTTCCTGTTGATTTATTGCCAACCTTCCTCATCTCCATCTAATTTGACATGATTTGATTCTATATTAGCCGATCTTCAACTAGCCCCATGGCCCAAGGGAACCTCTATCATAATTTTAAGCAAAAATTCAGAACGTTCAGCTTTCAAGATGATATTCTCAGGAAAGCGATTTTCTTGAATTTATTTCAATTTTTAGACGAAGAATACCAACGTTAAAACCAATCACATATTTCCAATTCACTTCCAAATATTTACCACATAGTTCCACAATTTGATTAAATACCTCATAATTCAACACATGAATTGGTAACCCTTCCACCTTAATCCAGCATCTCTCAAGGACGATTTTTGAAAATTTTAAAGATACAGACTAGTCTTGAGTTATTAAGAGTTTTCCTCTATACCTCCAATGTTTCCTTTGAAGAATCGCATCACCATTATCTTTATCAAACAAGAGGAATAGCACAAAGTGATTCATATAAAACTTGCAAATAGGTATCTCAGATAAGTTCCACACCTTCCATGCCCAATGATCTAACCCTCCAAGATTTGTTAATGGCGGAGAAAAAGATCCAAGCAGAGTTGATTGTAAGACCTTTCTTCTTTCTTCTTGCACAACAAATTGCCTCTGTAACTTTTAAAATTGCAGTATCTTCACAAAACCCATCCAAGACACATGGTTTCAGATCAGGTTTATTGTGCACACCTGTGAGTCAACTCTAGCAATTATGAGCATAGGGCAATCTACCATTAACATCGCCATTAGAAGCAAAAGAACTGTCGTTACCACCCTTATTACCAATAAATGCAGCAATGGACTAATGAGGAATCTGTTGTATATGAGCTACCATTGCGGATGGTTCTGGCAGTAGAAGAGGAGAATAATGAATCACAAGTTCAAGTTTACCAAATGTTAGAGGGCATGTATATTCAGGCAGAAGATTCAATGGAGGAGATCGTGGATGCGGTTGAAGCAATGCAAAGTCTAGCGAGTAAGTGGTTAACGAAGAAGCAGAAAGCTAGTAGCAGGAATGTGAGAGAATTCGATAAAGAAAAGGTTGAGGGCATAAAAAGCGCGGTGAAAAGTCATAGTCATAAGCCGAATGACCCTGGTGCCCAGACCAAGTCTGCTAGCAGGTATGCTACCAGACATGGCTCTTCTTATTTGTCTCAATGATCAAAATCCTTTCATGGAATACTAAGGGTCTTTGTAGTTTTAAACGTAAATCAGAGTTTCTTTCGTTGGTTAAGAAAAAATGCCCTAATTTAGTTTTGGTACAAGAAATAAAGATTTTAGTCCTAATTTGTTTGTTGTCAGGGTTGTATGGAGTAGAAGACCCATACAATTTTGTTGTAAAGATTTTGTTGGTTTGTCAGGGGGCATTTGGACTATTTGGGACCCCTCGGTTTGGTTGTGCGAATTGTCTTGTGTGGAATCATGGTCTATCTCGTGTATTTTTTTCCATATTTCTACTGGATTTCGTTTGCTTGTTTCAAATGTTTATGGACCTAACAGTTTTGTTTGTAGGCCCGATTTGTGGGCTGAGCTTTCTAGAGTTGGGGGGGTTGGAAGGGGGGGGGGGCACTTTTTTTACCATGGCACATTGGTGGGGATTTTAATGCTATCAGATGGCCCGATGAATCTAGTGTTGAGCATAGAATTAATCCCTGTATGAGATCTTTCTCTAATTTCATTTATAGTTTCGAGTTACTGGACATTCCAACGGCTAGGCCCTGGTCAAATAACTGCTCTACGAATCCTATTATGACCTGTCGAGACAACTTTCTAGTTAATCCTGGTTGGGCTAAGCTTTGTCCTCTGAGGTTCATCTTGTGCCCTTCCAAAACTTTCTTCTGACTATCTTCCTCTAATATGGGAACGTGAATCTTTGATAGGAGGAAGTGGTTACTTTAAATTTGAGATAGCATGGACAAAGAAAAAGCTATGAATCAGATTATAGATGCTTGGAGTAGAACTGATGTGCAAGGGTGGTCTGGCTATGTGGCCTCCAAAAAAGTGCAAGATGCGATAAGGGAGTTGATAGAATGGAGAAAGATGACTGTTATTAATTATAAGTTGAAGGTGGAGAAGACTAGGTCAAAGATACATAATTTAGACATGAAAAATGAGATTCTCGAGTAATTGAGATGGAAGATATAGCCTTATGTAATAATCAAAATTAGGAATTGCATGAATGGCTTAAGGCTGATGAGATGTACTGGAGATAGAGATCTCGTATTAGATGACCTAAGATTGAAGTTGTTAACATGATGTTTTTTAATTCTATAATAGAAGTGTCGTGAATGTTAGCCTTAGCTCGACTTTCATTTCGTTTATTTCCAAAAAGGGGGTGATTGAAAACTTAAGTGATATCAGACCCATCAGGCTTTTATCCAATCTTCACAAAATTCTAGCCAAATGTTTGGCGAGAAGATTAAAGATTATTTTGCCTTTGGTAATTAAAGGTCCTTATTCAGCATTTATCAAAAATAGACAAATTACGGATAGCATTTTATATGCGCAAGAAGTTATAAGTTCCCAGATTGCTGATAAAAAAGCAGGCATTATCTGCAAAATTGAGCTTGAGAAAGTCTACGACAAGATTGAGTGGAGAATATTGTTGCGAACTACAAAGGGAATGGGTTTTGGTGGTAGGTGGTTAATGTGGATAAAAAGCTACCTGGAGTCAACACATTTTTCTATTCTTATCAAAGGTAAGCCCAAAGGTTTCTTCAAAGCATCACGTAGGATTAGACAGCGGAATCTCTTGTCGATGTTCTTATTCACAATAATGGGTGAAATATTTAGTATAATGCTCACATCTATAGTTGAACTAGGTATATTAAATGGCTTCCAAGTTAAAAATAATAGGACAATAGTATCTCATCTACCCAATACTCAAAAATGCAAATTCAGGCGCCTAGGTGTTTTGGGTGCCTAGCTGCCAGTAGCGCTTAGGCGGCACCTTGCCCGCGTAGGCAGGCGCCCGAAAATAGGCCACATAATTCCACCACCCAGACAACGCCTAGGCGTTTTTTGAAATTTTTCGCCTAGGCGGCCTCCTAAGCAGTCGGACGGCCAAATTTTCAAACACTAAATCTACTATATGCAAATGACACATTGATTTATTGTGGAGTTAACAACTTGGAAGTCCAACCTTTGAAGAGATCTCTTAGGAGCTTTTGAAGTGCAAAGACGCATATTATAGGGTGGCTTGTGAGGAAAGTAAAGTTAAACAGTTTGCAGAAATGGTTGATTGTGGGATTGGATGCTTCACAATAAAATATCTAGGGCTACCTTTATCAGAAAATAATATAACCTAGGCTCCTTGGGATCCGTTGATTCAAAGAATGCAATATAAACTTGATTCTTGGAAGTTATCTTTAGGGAGCCGTGTGACATTGATAAAAGCAGCTCCGGCAAATTTACCATTTTACTACATGTCTCTTTTCAAGATGCCTAGTGATGTTGTTAAGGAAGCCAAGGAAACTTGCAAAAGGAATGAGTGAACTTGAGCTCACTAGAGATTCTTAGCCATGATGTTAGATATCTCTACTGCTTTTGCCCCAATTGACACTGGCTTGTTATCTACCCTTTTCTTCTAGTTTTTGTTTTTTTCTTTTTTTTTTCTTTGTGGTGGTCCAAGCCTTCATTTACATGTGCCTTTTTGTACAACTTGATTTATATCCCTCTTGCTTTATACGAGGTGAATTATCAAAAAGAAAACAGAATGATTCAATGCCAGACTTGCAGGAAATGTTCACATTTTCATGATGAGAGGAATTTCCTCAACACATAAATTTTATATTTGATCTCAGAAGTGTGGCAGCTCAATGAGCAGAAAAATCATTTTTATCTGATTTGACGAGGGGTATTCGATCTAAAGTCCAGCAAACACGCAATTTCAAGAAATAGTTCAAAATATTTCATCTCATTGTTTCAGCAATTTTTTTGCATATATTTAAAAAAAAAAAATATGTGAATTGCTGAATTTGTTGTCAATTTCATTGACATCTTGAGAGTGTCATTGAACCGCTGGCATTCTCAATACATGTTCTTCATCCCAAAATTTGTATTGCAAATCGTAGCATAGTAATCAGAAAGAGCTGCAAGACCAAATGGGAAACCGTTTATAAGCCCTTATTGATTGAAGAATCATTATAACTAAGAATATAAGAGATAATAAAGATGCACTTTTTCAAAATTGTAAGTAGCCACATAATTGCCTATAGGCCTCTAAGGTTATAGGTAATGGAGAAGTAAGTATTAGTAAGAATTTGACTTGATTATGACCCATCAAAATGAATATGGGACTATGGACAATATATGCATTTCATTCAAACAAATCAAAGGGTGTGTTTGGCCTTTTTAGGATAGAAAAGTTTCCAATTTGCAATTATCTAAGATTGTGAACAATCACCATTGATGTGAGAAAATTGATAGAACAGTAAAGTCAACAAGAACTTCAGGTCAAACATAAGCAATAACTTGGAGAAACCTAGGGTTTCTTCCGCACCTAAACTTGGGTTCTCAAAGCCTAATCTTTTCTTTCTTTTTCAATTCTGAAAATCACGTTGTTGAATGACCCCACTAGGCCCCAAGCAACTCTTAAATAATAATATTTAGTGTTGAAGGACATTAAATGTCCATACAAATAAAAGCACCCATGTCCTAACTTAAACATAAAATCTAAAACACCCTTGAACAATAATTAAAATTTCAGAAATACCCCATATGAACATTACCGTAACCAGTCAATAGTAATAAAAAGCATAAAAAACAATTGTAGATCCCTTAAAAACATTAAAAACCATAAAAATAATCCCTAAAACTAAAATTAAAACATACAACCTTTGAAATGAATAAAAATTAAAATCCTGCATCGTTCTCCCAAGGTTGAAGAAAACTTGTCCTCGAGTTTTGAAGTAGGCTAAGAAAAATTTCGAATTAATTCCATAACCCTCTTCAACCCGAACATTAAGCTTTGAACTCTTGGATTTGCGGTTTATTGGCTCAATCAAAATACAACAATGATGCATTGACATTGGGGCTTTGAAATCAATTGATATATTTATAAACACTTTTGAGACACCCTCGAGGAAAGGGTCACTGTATGCCCATAGAGTTTGTTTAGCCATATAAATTTGCTGAAATTGCACGAGTTCAGCCATATTACCCTACCGAAAATGCCTAGGCTCAGCCCTAGAATATTCCACGGTTGCATCTTCGAGATAATCATTGGATTCAATGACTAAAGCAACAACTTTACCTGTTGATTCTACCTGGAGTCCTTTTCATCTTTTTCTTCGTCAAAATTGAGTTCAACCATGAAATCTTGTTTATCATCATAGATCAGATCTCCTACAAAATCTTGTTCTTCATCTAAGTATGTATAGAAGATTAGTGGAAAAATCTCAATCTAGAACTTGCTGATATTCGATACAACTTGCTTCAAAATAAAAAATGTCCTTCAAAGTTCAAATAAAAAACGCAAGAGTGATGTTCCCCATGTCTAGGTCTTCTATCACTTTCCTCGTCAACGAACTTTTCATGAGAAGCATGAAGGTGAAAAGGTTTGTACTCGACATCTTCTTGGGTGGAAAGATCACCGTCTTACCCATAAATAATGCTCGCAAACTATTAATTCAATTGCCAAGCTTGCCTTTTAATTACTCGATTTCTACATCACCCAGAACTGGATCTACAAAAATCCCCCTTCCACAGACCCTTCTGGCTGCAATAGGTTCGCCAAAATTACAAACCTTAGACAAAGAATCAATAAAAACCTCGCTAAAATTAGAAAGATCTGAGCTGATTTGGAAAAACTAGAGCCAAGATCAGCAAACCCTAGACTCAATTGTAGTTTCCAAGCTTTGTTGTGCAAAAAAGCCCGACTCTAATACCAAATTGATGTAAGGGAGTTTATAGAACAGAAAAACCAACAAGAATTTCAGGCCAAACGGAAGCGATAACTTCGAAAAACCTAAGATTTCCTCTTCACCCGAAGCTAGGGTTCCAAAAGCCCAAGGTTTCCTTTCTTTTTCAATTCTAAAAATGCAGAATGACCCCTCTAGTCACCAAGCACCTCTTAAATAATAATATTTAATGTTCAAGAGAATTAAATGTTCATACAAGTAAAAATTGACACCCATGTCCTAACTTAAATATAAAAGTCCAAAATGGCCTTAAACAATATTAAATATTTTAAAAATAACCCTATAAACATTAACCCATAAGCAGTACACCAGTAAATAGTAAGTGAACAGTAACCATAAATAATAACCAATGAATATGAACAAAAAATACATAAAAAACAACCCTAGAATCCCTAAAAAACTTACAAACCCTAAATAACCCCTAAAACTAAAATCAAACTATATATCCTTTGAAATTTAATAAAAATTAAATATAAGAATAATTTTGTCATGCATCACCCATCTATGAACCTATCAATCCAAAAAACCAATTTAATCCGCCAATAGAGATTCTTAACTTTCAGTTGAACCTTGCTTGGAAAATTAGGAGAAGCTGGCATTACGAACAAGGAAGGAGACAATTGTCAAGAACAATGAAGACTCATAACAGACACAAACTATGGAATCTCTAGGGGACGACTACTCCTTTGAGGGAAAACAGCAGCACTCCTTAATAGAATATAGGTTGTCCAAGTGCACTTTCCATGTTATCATGATTCAGGGAGGTCCCTCAGATGCTATAAGTGATTCATGACAAGCAATGGCATTGACAATCACAGAGACGACAACAACATTTTTTGAGATCATCAATTCTTTTGAAAACTTTTATGTGATATCCCTAAAGAGCTGAGAGGATCACCAACTTCTCCTCTCGAGAGCAAGTTTATCACTAAATAAGACTCAATCAAAATTAATAACACCCAAACAAAGTATAAATAAAAGACAAATAGATGAGAAGCATAAAACTCCTAATCAGAGTAAGATAAAACTAAAAGAGGACATCAGGTTTCAAAACTAAATAACACATAAAAACCATTGATTCGGTATTGTCAACCAAAAGAAAACGCAACCCATCAAGCAAGGGAAAGTATTCATAAAATAACTGCAAAATCGCGAACAACAAGAATGATATTATGCCCACAAATTGAGAGAGAAGCCAAAAGCAAACAATACCAACATAAATATGTCTTTCTTCACTAAGCTAGCTAGGGGTTCCCACCCATTGCATTAACATGAAAGCAAAGATTAATCTTATTTTTAATTTTCATTCATTCGTTAACATATTCAAAAAAAAATTATTCACTTCCAAATGAGGTACATTTTAATTTTAGTTCTAGTGTTTAGTTTTAGGGTTTTTAACTCTTTTAAGGATTCTAGGGGTTTTTTTTTATATTTTTTACATACTATTCACTAGTTACTATTCACATGTACTATTCATGGGTTACTGTTCATAGTGGTATTTCTGAAATTTTTAATATTGTTTAATGCCATTTTGGACTTTTATGTTTAGGTTCGGACATGGATGTCAATTTCTTACTTGTATGGACAATTAATGTCCTTTGAACAATAACTAAAGATTATTTAAGAGGTGCATGGGGGGGCCCTAGAAGGCTAGCACGTGATTAACCTAAGAAGACAGAGCTTAGGATTTGAACCCTAGCTTGGGTGAGGAGTAAACTTTAGGCCTTCTCCAAGTTTTGCATGTGTTTGGGTCGAAAAGCTTGGTGTTTTTACCATTCTTCAAATTTCCTTACATCAATTTAGTATCAGAGCTTAGGGTTTCTTCAACAACAACATCAAAAAACTATAGCTAAGTCTAGGGTTTTCTGATTTAGGGCCAAGTTTTGCCATATTCAGCGAGGTTTTGTTGATTATATGGCTAGGGTTTGTGATTTTAACGAAGTTATGGCAGTGAGAAGGGGTATAAAATAATCCAAAATGAGGAATCAGTTTATTGCCAACAATAGCAAATGAAAAAAAAGAATGCCAACTTGGCAAAGCTATAGTTATTGGGAATAGGAGAAAGGGGAGCTTCGAGATTGAAAACGGCAATACAAGACCAAGGGAGGCTTGAGGAGCCATAGTTGAGAGAATGAGTTCCATATATCATGAGGTTAAGGGATCGAGAACCCAAACATTATGGAGCACATGCCAGAACTGCACAGGAGTGAATGCTAAACTAGGGTTTTCTGATTTAGGGCCAAGTTTTGCCATATTCAGCCAGGTTTGTTGATTCTATGCCTAGGATTTGTGATTTTGACAAAGCTATGGTAGTGAGAAGGGGTATAAAATAATCCAAAATGAGGAATCAGTTTATTGCCAACAATAGCAAAGGAAAAAAAAGAAAGCCAACATGGCAAAGCTATAGTTACTGGGAATAGGAGAAAGAGGGGCTTCGGGATCGAAAACGGCAATACAAGAGCGAGGGAGGCTTGAAGAGCCATAGTTGAGAGAATGAGTTCCATATATCATGAGGTTAAGGGATCGAGAACCCTAACATTATGGAGCACGTTCCATAACTGCACCGGAGTGAATGCTAAACTGAATGGGATCAAGGTTTGTTGAGCTTAAGATCAAGGCTTCCAAAGATCACTTATCCATGATATTCTAGTTCAGGAATGAATTCCATTGAACAACTATTTAAGCAAATTTCCCTCCAAAAAACTACTCATGCAGGCCCACTAAAAAAAGCGTACACATACTTACATTGGTCTGCCTACATACGCACACGACCTCATTTTTGGCACCAATCGGTTGAATTTGACTTTTCTCACTTGACTATTGATTGATGATTGAATTTAAGATCGTTGCGATAAATTGTTTTCAACAAAGAATGCTGCAATAAATAAGCTTTCCTTTGAGAGAGAGAGAGGCCGAAGGGGGTGGGGGAGGGGGGGGGGGGGTGGGGTGGCCACAGATAATTCTCAATAGCCCTCCTCCATCAAAGATTGTTAGAAGCTCAAGGAATATAGACGAGAGACCTCATATTTCCAAGCCTATATGTTATTCCATCACTATAAGGGAACCCTATGAGTGGCTCAATTTGGGTGACCAACACTCAAGCGATAGAACTCCTTTGAGAGGTGGTCAAGACCCAATGAACTAGCCCCAATAAAATCTAGCATATTGATCGCGACCTCATTCCTTGATTAGAACCACAACTCAACTATCTTTTCTATCTCCTTCCATCTTCTTTCTCTCTCCCTAACCTCTCTTGGTGCCTTTCTTTGAAACTAGTCACAATTCACAAGGTGTGTAAAGGCGTAACTGTAAAATGTATAGGAAATCAGAGCCTTTAGAAAGTTTGTACGTCATAAGAAATTGGAGACCCTTGCTCATTGTATATGAACCTAAAAATGTGTTGGTGAAACTTGCTCCCAAAGTAGAAGATAGTTGATTCCAACTTGGTGGAATTGCGTTTCCAGTTACTCACGGAACCATGATTTTGGGCATAGCGATCTGGATCCCATTAACTTGGGATGGATCTCATTAACTTGGGATCTAGTTCCTCAATTTCCAGGATCGAGATCCCTAAATCAAGGAAACGCTCAGAATTGAGATCTCGTGGCTCAAACATGGGATCGAGCTTCCGGAGTGGTCCTTAGAAGATGCCAGTACCTATGGTTACAACAACCTCAGTTTGAAGAGAGGAATCATCTACATTCCATTTGGATGCGTGTGAGAGGGAAGGGGGTGGAGAGAGAGAGAGAGAGAGAACTGAGATTTGCATAATGGAGCTTGTGTTTTGCTCTAATATCGTAAGAAAGACAACAGGAGTGAGCGAGAGAGAGATGTAGAATTGAGAAATTGTGTGTGGGCATAGAGAGATAAAGATACAAAAACTTCGGAATTCGAGTTCAATGAAGAGAGGGAGGGAGGGAAGAAGGGAGAGAGAGAGAGAGAGAGAGAGAGAGAGAGAGAGAGAGAAGAACAGTACGTACGAGAAGAACGAGGTGACGACGTCGTGGTAGAAGTAAGTAAACGTAAAACGTACCAACCGACAGACAACGACAACGAACCACCGACCGAGA